CTTCAACATATGAGTGTAACCTGATCTCACACATATGTGTCTATTCATGAAAACATTTATTCGCATCTTCTGTTGCTTCTTCTCATATGCGCAGTAGCATCTCCACTGACAGTTAACATCTTTATCAGCACATTTGGCACCAATCCTCATAGACTGGGACCTATACAACTTGATGTCGTATCTAGTCTTCAGAGAATACCTCAACACAGCTATCTTGAAGTCTTATGGGGAACTAAAGGTCTTCCCAATACTCAGCAGCACCTCAGGATCTTCAGCTTCTGCATTATCATCTCTTTCGCCATTATCTTCGTCTTCACTTTCTGACCTAGGATCTGGAATCTTCTCATCATCGAAAATATCATCTCCACTATCTGCATCTGTCTCATCTTTCTCTTCTCTCGCACCATCCCCAAATTCTGCTTCGAAGTCATCGCATCTTTCTTCTTCTACACCAACAGGGTCTCCATCTTCCTCTTCCTCTTCCTGGTTTCCGTTTTCCTCTTCTCCGTTTTCCTCGCCAGCAGCTTCGTACCCAATATCATCAAAATCGTCATCACTAGCAACACCACAGTCATCACGGTCTCTTCATCACTAAAACTCGATCGCTGTTCTAAGGGAACAGGCTCTCCTACGTACAACATAAGAGCTTTACCTTCACCAGGAGTCGATTCAGGAGCAGTTACGTCGGGAGCAGTCGATTCATCATCTCTCTTACGTTTGGGACGACGCTTACTCTTCTTTCTCGGTGCCATAGATACGAGATCCTCCCTAACGATACAAGAGAGTGCTTCGAATTTGGAAAATAAGGGACAATTCGAAGGAGAAGAGAGAAAATCGCAAAGGGGATCTAGGGTTTGTGATTTGGGGATTTCTGGGAATTGGAATCGAGCTTAATCGAATTTGGGGGTTTTCATTTGATTAAACGACGTCGTTTAGCTTATTAACAGATATATTAGACGGACAGATAGCAGCGTCTTAATCCTCCGTTTGTCCGGTTAACGACGTGCCTCAATCGGCTTCGTCAACGAAAGTTAGAGATTAAATTGAAAGTCAACTAGAAATTGAGGATTAAAGCACCAGGCTCAAAGTTCATGCTTTAAACCTCCACAAATGGCAAAGTGACGATTTAAATGACATTTTTCCCATTTTCTAATTGACAATTATAATGATTCTGAAAGAAGAAAGGCCGTAGGCCATTGTTTCAAACCTTTCTTCCTCATGTGTTATATAAGACAAAGTAAGCAAAAGCTTTCTAAATGTTATTAACATAATATCTGATATTGTCACCAGCACAGTAGAAAACAGGCACGAAGCAGCTCAAGCATCTCTAAAATCTCTGAGAAACGCAACTATCTAAATCTTGAGATATACTCCTTGCTGCTCGACTCTGATTTCATTCACTCAGCAGAATTCTCGTGCAACAGTACGTACTCTCGGCTGCAACCAAAAGAACAAAATATCTCAATACATTGCCAAAAAAACAAGAAAGCAGATGCCAAGCAAACTGTGTTGACCAAAACAATGTGCACAAACAAGCAAAGATTGATTAAAAAGAGAATAGGCACGATAATGTTTCATAATAGAAAACCAGAACTGCAATGTTTCTTCATTAGCATACCTGCTGTTGCCGAACTTTATGGTGTCTTTCTCAAAAAGCTCATAATATCTTTGTGGCTCAATGGGACTTTCCTGAAAAAGGTAAAAGAAGTTCTCATTACAAACGTTTGAAATTAACCCATGATAAAGAAGCAAGCAAGAAGGAATGTAATTGAGCACTTACATTGATATAAGTTTTGTTGGTACTACCAAGATCCATTATGTAAGGCCTGCAAGGTGACATTAAGGGAAATTAAAATTTAGCTTAAAGCCAGAAGAGGTGCAAATTTTAAGCAAAATGAAAGAGCAAACAGGTTTTTACTTCACTTGCTTCCCCATCATACCATCCGGTTTCTCCTTTTCCATTTCCCTGAGAAAAGCACATTCACAGTGACATAAAATATTAAACTAAAACCCTTATTTTCATTAGATCTATTGTCATAAATTTTACTATTCAATAGGAGAAATACATGCAGAACCCTACCGGTACTGAATGACCGCATGCTGCTTGCTGCAAGATGGGTGATCCGTAGGAATGTCGGCAATCCTTCTTTCACGTCCAAAGAGATAGCAACTTTGGCGATGGAGGCAGAGTGGCTCTGTTAATCCAACACATTTCACATGCACAAAAAAACACACATCATGAATAATGATTCAGGGCATAAAGAGTTATAAGCAAACAGAAATGAGAAACAAAATGTAAAATCTGAATATACAATGTTCAAGGATTCAAACTAAGAATGACACGGGAAGCCACAGTCACAAACGTATCAAATCAAAAAAACTATTGTTCCTCTTAGAGTCATGAACATGGCATAATAATATTCACTATAATTAAATTGACAAGTTCTAAGCAGTGTCAAGCAATAGTTTGGCTATTATCTGTAATCACGCTATTATCTGGATACTCAACCATCAATGACCACAGTTTTCAAGTTTACATGGCTAGAGCGCATCAAAATTCTTGAGCATCTCTTTCATTGCCACAGTGCCACTATATGCTTTACTGCATATTTTGTGGACAAAAAATTGACGTTCACCACAGAAAAATAATTTAAGTGAAATACATAGAAGACAACCACTACGTAGAAAGATGGATAGAGGATTGAAAGACCTACCATTCAGTGGTTCACCATCCTTAAAAACATACAGTCTCCATCTTTCGCTGGGTTTTCTAGCCTCGGGGGGCTCATTGAACAGGAGTGTAATACCTGCAAAGGATGCAATCAGTCACGGAAGCAAAGCATGCCTATGGTGAAATTTAATGCGAGAAACCACCATCTCCATTCTAGGAGCAAAAAAGGATTGGCAGTCAAAAGATATCTGCTGATAGTAGATGCTTATATATTGAAGCTTCTAGACTCATTAGCTACTAACTATTGACCAATGAAAACTTTTACCCAGTGACAGACACAAATGCATACAAAATCAAGAAAATATGACCTGACAACAAAGGCAGATGTTTCGCAGTTCACACATGCAATGAAGACACTATGGCAAAAGTTTATACCACAAGGTAATGGTAATAGGTGATATTCTTAAATGAAATGGCCAGATCAGAAATATCACCTCTGTATCTGTTGGTTTCTTCAGCAAGTTTCCCTGATAGCTCAAACGATGGTTCTTCCTGCAAGATATATCAAAATTAGATTTGAAGTGTAAATGCATGGATGAGCCAAGCAAGCTCGAAATGACATTGGAAATTGAAATCAATAGGGCATGATATGATACCTTTTTCTTTGCTGCCAGAGCCTCTTCAACTGCTCTCATTCTTGCGACTGAATCTTCCTCGACATTTCTGTTAAAGAAAACCCATAACATGGTTAAACGAGAGACTGAAAAATTGTGAAGGCTAATCTAGTAAGAAGAAAACTCACGGCTCCTCGCCGCCCCCTCTTGCATTAGACCCCTGAAACAGAAAAGATAATCAAAATGACTGAAGAAAGTAAAAAAAAATCTATGGCTCGCAGAAAATGATAAATTTGCAGAAAGCAACCATAATCTATATAATGAGCTTTTACTAAAAGAAGAGAAACATGAGAAGTGATGTTACTGGACATGCTGAAGAGAACAAAAGACTCTATCTCTAAGTCATTTAGCAACAGAGTAAGTAAAAAATGGCTGGCTGCAGTTTCTAGTTATAGACTCAGGAGATACAAAGCTAGATTACAGGATTCCAACTATTTATTACGTGAAACAAGCAGCGGAGGCTAAACAATTTCAACCGCATTATCTTATGAAACAGAATATGGATATGCACAAGTAAAAACCAAAAAGAAAATTCTGAGATTCAGAACATATCTCTAAGCTGAAGATAGGAGCAGATATACCTCATCTTGCCTTGAGGCAATAGCTCTTTCAGGTGAACGCCTACTACTCCTGCGACTCTTATCTGGCGGTGAAGTAGACCTCTCATGTCTTCCTCTAGAGTATCTCTCATCATCTCTTCCTGCCCTTCCCCTTTCTTCAGTATCCTCTCTCCCTGATCGTCTTCTCTTATCCCCAACTTCCCAATCTCTTTTTCTCTCCCTGTCCCAATCTCTTCCTATATCTCCATCCCTTTCCCTACTGTTTCTCTTCTCCCTTCCTCTACCATCATCTTCTCTCTCTCTACTTCTCCCAGTCTCCTTCTTCTCACCTTGAGCTCTTCTCAATCTCTTCGTACGCGGTGAAGGAGACCTAGAACTAGGAGCCATTATTGGAGACAGGTCGTTTTCTCTCTTTTTTGCCTTAGGAAAGGGCACAAATTGAGACCAGAGTCAGAAAAAAAGAAGCTCTCGAGAACACTAAACCCTAATTTCCCAAATGCATAGAAACTAGAGGAGGAGCAAAAGCCCTAAATCAAAAAACGTAAGCTACAGATTTCGAATGCTAAATTCAGAAGTTCAGGGCATAGTCTAGGGTTGCAAGAATCGTGAAGCGAAATTCGCTGCATTGAGAGAAAGATGGTGAAGCTAAAAATTTACCTGGTGGCCGGAGCTGTGACTACTTCGGCGGAGAGAAGAGGAGAGAGTGAATAATAATAATCGCAGAGATTTAAGAATCAGAGCCAAAACGAGAAGAATCAATTAATTGGCGTCTTTTGCAAATAAAAGGAAATTGAGGGGTCAAATATTAAATAAATCGTAGATAGTGTGATTAACATAACGGAGTTAAGAGTTCCGTTAGGTCTTCGTTAGTGTCACACGTTTCAGGCTTTCAGCTGATTGGTAGAAACTAGAAAGTTTGCAACATAGATTTTATCATTGATGAGAAGGACATATTTGACAAGTTTGATCGAAGAAAATAATCGAGATTAGGGAACGGTTACAAATTCCAATAGGGTTTGGTAAAGCTTGAAGAAATCTGTTGTTGAATTGATCTCGTCTCTTCTTGTTTTAAAAGGGTTTTTGTTCTCATCAACAATGCAGAAGCTTGATCTAGTTAGGGAGAATCTATACCTAGGCGATATATGCGCAGCTGCTGAGATTCTCAAGAATGGTAGCGCTGAGATTTCACACCTTCTTACAGTGTTTCACTGCCCTTCTATATCTGTCTTTGAGGAATGGCGCAACGTGAAACTAGACTCAAAACAAATCAAGGAAATGTATGTTGGTGATGATGATCAAGATGACTCATTACAAGGCAAAGAGTTTGCGACAGAGAGTGCTTTGCCATCAGGCAATCTTTTATATTCTCTTGAGCATACTGGTAAAGATCTCAAGTTTACAAGAATGGTTGTGTTTGCTTACGATCAAGAGTGGGAGAATCTGCTTGATTTATTCGATATTTGTTTGGATTTTATCGATGCTGGTCGAAAAGAGAAAGGTGTTTTAGTTCATTGCTTTGCTGGACAATCTCGGAGTGCTTCTATGGTCATTGCGTATCTGATGAGGACCGAAAAGCTTTCTCGGGAAGAAGCTTTAGCGTCATTGAGACAATCTGCTCAGGCTAGTCCAAATCTTGGCTTCTTAAAACAGTTAGATTTGTTTGAGAGAATGAACTTCAAAGTCGACCGTTCCAGCGCTATTTACAAGTACTTCCGTCTAAAAGCTTTAGGTTACTTATATAGCAAGGATAAGAAATTTGACAGATTAAAGTTGCGAGCTGATCCGGATGTGTCGAATGATGAGAGTAGTGGTGGTAGTACGTATCATTGTAAGAAATGCAGGAGGATTTTGTTGTTTCAGGAGCACGTTATTGATCATACTCCAGGTGAGGCTGACTCAGAGTTCGATGACATGTTCAAAAACATGATTGGAGATGTTCACAACAAGAATCCTGGTGATCAGAACCAATGTACTTCCATATTCGTAGAGCCTATCAATTGGATGAACACAGTGGAAGATGTTGTGTCGGAAGGGAAGTTGTTGTGCCCTACGTGTAAAGCTAAGGTTGGAAGCTTTGACTGGTCGGGAAGTTATTGTAGCTGTGGAAGCAAGATTGTTCCGGCGTTTCAACTTCAGATGGGCCGCGTCGATGTTATCACTGTGAAAGATGACGTGAAGAAAAGGAAGAAGAATAAGCATGATAAGAAAATAATCTAAGTGTATGCAATAATTTCGAACCGTACGGATCCAAGAACTCAGCTTTGCATCATCAGATCAAGTAGCTCTCTTCTTGCTTAGTAAACATGCGTTGTTTTGGACGATTTAAAATACTACATGGTTTCAATAATTGAGTTTCATTGGCAAAGTGCTTTCCATTTATGTCCATTCATTAGGCAATCGAAGTCTTTTACTTGTATTAGTTAATCACTAATGATTGAGACCAAAAAAAAAAAAGATTTGATGCATCTGATTCTTAAGCAGGTTCAGATTTATTTGCTGCTAAACCGCGTGCGACGAGAACCAAAAAGGTGGTCGTAGGAGGAAACATTGAGAGAATATATATATGAAGAAGAACAAGACAAAGGTATTGAAGAAAACAAGAGTTTGCATGAGTGAGAGGAGTATATAGTTTAGAGAGTTGATGATCACGAGTAGATAGTTCAGAGAGTTGATGAACACAACTAAATCAATGAGAATCGCAATCGAAAATATCAATAAACAAGACATTAATAAATAAGGTTTTATTGTTATGTGGTACGAATTAAAAAAAATTCGAAACCTTAAAAAAGATATGAATTATTTTTGGCTTTGATATGCTTTTTGAAATTGGCCGCATGATCAAATTGGAGCTGGATGGTTTGTTCAATACAAATTGTACAGAAGCGTACTTGTCCTTAGAATGGCAGCCCACACGTCAAAACAGTAACACACTAACATTATGCTATAATCCAATTTCCTTTGTGGAGATTCTTAAAATAGTGTATGAGGAACTTGTTGGATGAAAAACTGTTGCTTTTCAAAGCTCACAGCTTTGGAAGCACCACATGCTTTTATCTTTTGTCTATATTCTCAAGTGAGATTACCCCATATTATATTGGTTTGCTCTTAGGAAAGCAAAAAGCTATAGCAAATGCTTTGGTTTGTCGGGTGATAACTCATCGAATCCCCACACCATGTATCCTGGTTTATTTGATGGTTATATATATTTTCACTTTCATCAAATTTAAAGTTCAATTTGAATACGAAAAATAATTGACATGTCTGAACTTAATTATAAACACCATTTTCATTATATAGAGTATAGACTAGTAGTCTAACTAGTAACTACACAAACAATATCTAAATTGCCAAAAATATTATAGACAAAATTTATGAATATTATCTTAAGTGATTTGGCCTCCGACATTGATTTGCAAAGACAAATCAACACATACCATCCGCCAATATAGTCGAGCCCAGTTACTTTTAAAGATTTGACCGAGAAAACCAGTTTAGCGGATTTATTCAATTGAGACAATTCAAAACTGGTTTTCTGTTTACGTATAAACAAACGAGTGCACCGGGTTTACCACCAACTTTGATCCTCTCATGAAGGAACTTGTGGAGAGAAATTTTCAACTTCGAGGAACATATGTCCTGAAATCTCATCGGTAGTTCTCCTTACTACCGATGTGTAGTCGCAACTGTTGGCCCTGAAGCTTATGTGGAAGATAGCATTCATAGAGTCGAGCTTGAGAGACGGATCAGTATGAGGTTCTCGGGTTTCCACAAGTATCTTCTTTATATTCATCTCCTTGGGCAGGAAAGAATGAGATCCAGCCTCGCAAACTTGGAAAAGTGCAAACTCGGTATAGAGACGAAGCCAATCATTATTATCAATGTCCTTGGTCTGAACCTCGTAGAATCTAACACCATCATCATCATCAGCTTCTTCTGGTAGTTCCGACAAAAAGGTAGGCATACATCCTCGGAAAGACAGATAGAAGCAGTTAAACGAGTGGTCTGATATTTCCGCTACAAAAGAAAGAGAGAAACAAACAAAAAGTTGTGACTCGTGAGTAGCTGCTAGAAAACCAAATCTCTTTTCTTTCTTTGTTCAATTGGTAGGCTAAATAAAATATAAAGAAAGAAAACCTGGTTTGATTCTGCAGCGTTCCATCAAGAGTTTCAACTCGGGAAAGGAAGGTCTCCTGACCAGAGTTTGCAAAGTGAGAGAATCAGCAGCAGCAGCATCATCATCTTTAACCTCGACAGTAATAAAGTAAGAAAAAGAAAAGGGATGTTCGGTATTCAATTTTGGTATGCGTATGAACTTCAACTTCCTTTTCTGCTCAAAGTTGAACCAATGAACTCCCAAACGGCCGTAGAGAACCATTTCGGTAGGTGGTTGCTCTTCGTTTTCGCCAAAATAAAATGGTGAGTATCCTTTAAGACGTGGGATACGAACGTCAGGCTTGAAATCGAAACCCTAAACCCAATAAAAAAATAACAAAATTACAATAGAATCTATGGGGGAGGCAGAAAAAATAAAAATATTAGGGGTTACCTGAGTATTTGCGATTTGCCTAATGTAATCCATGTCTTCTTCAACCCCTAGTTCTTCATATTGGCAAAAAATACGTTTCTTTTCTTCATTAGGTAGCTTCCGCATGTCCAACAACTGCGGCAGAGATTTCCGGTTGTCGACTTCTTCTTCCTCATTTGTTCCTTGAATCGCTTTCTTTTTCCTTTTCCTACTATGGACAGGGGTGATCTCAGATGTGCATTCACCCACTACTTTGGCTTCTTTATCGAAATCTAATCCCCTCAACATAGAGAGGCATTGTTCGTCCGTTAGCTTTCCGCTTTCCAACATCCGCTTCAGAGTATCCGCCATCTTCTTTCGATCGATCTAGGGATTTCTCTATCTTTTTTTTCTTTTTTGCGCCGATAGGTGGTCACTAGATATATAGACTATGTATAGGGCTTCACACATTTTTGGCCCATCTTCCTTTTAAAAAGACTAGAAATGTATTTTTTTAGTGTGACCATGATAATGTTGTGTGTGACTGGTACCGAGACGAGAGTTGATGAGATGAAACACAACTAAATCAATGAGAATCGCAATGGAAAAGAAAATATCAATAAACAAAAATATTAAATAAGGTTTTATTGTTATGTGGTACGAATAGAAGCCAACAAGATTGATGAGAAAAATATGAATAAACAAAAAATTCGAAACCTTAAAAAAGATATGAATTAATTCTGCTCTGTATGTATATGCTTTTTGGACTTAGACGCATGATCAAATTGGAGCTGGAAGGTTTGTTCAATACAAATGGCAGCCCACAAGTCATTTTTAATTTTGTTATAAAAATTTGAGAATAATTAATTTTCACATCATAGACAAACAAACACAAATGTTGTCTAATCTATCATCCGACTTGTATTTAATTTAAATATTGGTCATGCATCATGCACTTCATTATTATCTTATGATTTGCAAAATCCTGGCTAGACTGTCATATATATCAGAATCGGTCACCGTCACCTTCTTCGTTATTGTCATACAGTTTCACTATGACAAAGTCCAAATTAGGTCAAAATTTAAGCTAACGTACGTAGCCTCTTACGTCATACATTGCTGATGAAAAAGAGGCAAATTATTATAACAACCATCAAAGATTCGGTACTAACTTTACAAATTCACACAATTCGTATCTCACAAACTAAAAGTGCAATATGTTATACATGTTTTGTAAGCTAAACAATAGTAAAATAATTATCCTGCCGGACTATAAAGGTTCGCGAGAACGTGGACCGACTATATTTATATATCAATTTTTTTTTTAGCTATTTGGGTTTTTAGCCTAATGTGTAATGTTGCCTTCATCACGTTTTCTGTTTTTTTGTTGAAGTTTTTTCAAATAGATGAATTGACTATCATCTGCTTGTCACGTTATAAACCATATATATTATCGTTAAATTAGCAGTTCCCCACGAATTAAATGTCTCCATCATTGACTAATTTAATTTTTGTTTGCAAGAACACTTTTTCCTTCCTCAATAAATTGTTGTACTTTATACATATAAATGTTACACCAAACGCAAGATAAATTTCATTGTATAAAGAAAACGGAGAATATAAGCTAAAATGAAAATCTATATACCTTGCTTCAGCTTCTATCGAATTTATTTTCACTGATGGACAAATATGAAATGTGATCCTTCTCTACTGTTTCTGTGAATTTGTGATTATCATCAGGCAAATGTTTCTATCTAAATTAACACTTCTATTGGAAAACTACCAAAATACATTTGGGTTCACCCATGAAAAGTACTTTATAATATTGTTATGTTATATATTGTGTGCTTAATTAGTAACTAATAAGATTACAATTTAGCAAATCTCAAGTTGATGTGTACATTTATATTCTCCACTACAACAAGAAGGTGATCTACTTCCCTTGTATATCTTTCTTTGTTCTTGCACGTACATAAAGAAATCAAACTGTTCAGCTGCCATTTGAACCAACAAATTAAATAATATTATAACAAGTAAATAGTTAAACAATAATAAGAACAAAGGGCCAAAATCGTGCCAAACCTACAACATTCCTGACCTGTGCCTCCCCCACTATATAGAGGTCACATTTGAGAAAAATAGGCAATAAAAGTCTAGAAACCCATTTTTTTAGCTTCTCACATCTTTCTTCTATAATATCAAACTACTCTTCATCAGCCTCTTAATTATCTAAGAAAGTCTCAATGGAAAAATCAGCACTAAGCAACTGTGTGAGGCGAACAATATTCTCTAATCAACAGAGAACAATACAAGAGGGTCTAGAAGAGAGTAGTTGGACAATGTACTTTGAAACCGAAGATGGATTAGGCCATTACGATGATTCTTCGATGATGTCAGACGCTGCTTCTCCTATGGGTTCTGTCGAAGAAGACACAGCTTCATCTCCTTCTAATAGAACCAAGGTTAGTCCAAGAAGAAGACAATCTTAATATGTTCATAATATATACATTGATACACACATGACACATATCAATATCTATATAGGCCTAAATATATATATATAGCGATGTATATATGATGTTTCGTGTGGATTTATATAAAATACTTATCTTTTAGCTATGCTTGTTTCTTCAGGGTCACAGTGAAATGGAAGACAATACGATAGAAGAAAAAACGATGAACGATACTAAAATTGAGGTAAGAAACTTCATGTTTTCTAATATATCTTTACATAAAATTAAATTTGTTTTGGCGGCTAACAAAAATATTCATACGGGTTAATATAGGAGAAAAGATTGAATAAAAACGGGATAATGATTGAAGAATACTGCGCAGAATTGAAGAAGAGAGGACTTTGCTTAGTCCCTTTGTCGATGTTGTCTAACTATATTGGTTGAAACTTTGATTACTCTTTTCAATCATATACATATTCTTTATTGTGATTATCTTCCTTTTTCTGATTATTTCTGTAAAATTAATAGAATGGACTAGTAAATGTAGTGAAAGTCAAATCAAGATTGAGAAGAAAATTGATAAAAATTCAAACATGTGTAGTAAAAAGTTAACATGTTTCCATGTGTGTTCAAGTACATATGTATTTTGGAACGCCTTTGTAATACAATGATTGAATGATCGAGATTTAGAAAACTTCTTTAGACATTAAAGAATTATCTCAAAATACCAGTTTATTAAAATCATATAGATTTTTTTCTTAAGAATGTTACCTAAAATTAGGAAAGTTATTAAAAGTTAGATTTTTTACTTATTATTTGTGGTATTTTTTTTAAAAAATTACAGTAAGACAAAACGAAGAATAATAAAGTATCAGAAAATCATTTTAATCAATTAATTTCTTTTTTTATAATCGAGAACCAAAAATTGAATCTAATTAAAAGTAAGAGATTTGAAACGCAAAGGTTTCCTAACAAGTGAATCACGAAATCACGACCGCATTAGAGAAGAAAGAGAGAGAGAGCTCTTCTTCTTCTTCCTCTTCCGCTCACTAGATCTGCTCTCTCTCGCAGTTTCCAGGGTTTTGACAATTGCTTTCGTTTCTTCTCGGCGGCAGCCATGGTTTCATCCACCAAACTCAAATCCGTTGATTTCTACAGGTGCGATCCTCTCATCTCTCTGCCACATTTTGCTCAATTCTCGTTGCCTAATTCCGAGCATTGATTCGATGTCGGCTCTGATGCATGTTTATACATTTTGGATTGCGTTTGATTGATATTATTCGGAATTTCGTTAATATGCATTTTAGCTGTCGAATTCTGCCTTCGTTTTCGTATCCTTGATGATCTGATTTTTGAGATGTCTCTTTTTTTGATGGTCTTGTTCAGGAAAATCCCGAGAGATTTGACGGAGGCGTCTCTATCAGGCGCTGGGTTATCAATTGTAGCTGCTCTCTTTATGATGTTTTTGTTTGGAATGGTTAAATTCTCTTTGCCCTGTTTGTTTTTCCAAAATGATCTCTTTCACCTCTCTCTGTTTGATCAAGTATAGTATTTTAATGTATCTTTATCTTCCAGGAGCTGAGTAGTTATTTGGAAGTTAACACTACCACAGCTGTGATAGTTGACAAGAGCAGTGATGGAGACTTCTTACGCATTGATTTCAACATCAGGTTTTTGTTGCTATTGGTCTTTTTCTCTGTTGATATTTAAATCTTCTCTAGACGTCCTGTGATCATGGATTTATTCACCACAATCATAAGATATGGTTTTCTTGCCGAATAGTTGCTATGATATTTTCAATATTTTCTACTATCTGATTCATAAGGTGAAATGGAATGCTTTTCTTTATAAGCTGAATGTTGTTTTTGTTTCTTTACCTTTTTGTAGTTTTCCTGCCCTTTCATGTGAATTTGCATCTGTTGATGTGAGCGATGTGTTGGGAACGGTAAGTCTCTACGCACAACTCTCAGTTCTTTCTATTTTGATGATCTCATTCCCACTGTTAGAATGCATTTCGCCATAAATGTTTTTATGATTATCATTCGAAAACAAATAATGCAAAAGGGAAGGAAAATCTTAAATCTTGACACTTTCTTCAGTATCAGAGAATGTATCTTTGGTTATGTGATATATGATAGATAGACTATTCGTGTAAGCATGTTGAGTTGGTTGTGCAATGATGATATGGATTTACTCCAATGTTTATTGATTCCATTTTATTAGTGATTGTCGTCAACAAAGCTAGGAAAAACTAATAATACTATCCTACTGCAAAGAAAAAAAAAAAAAATTGTCTGCAAAGTTTTAATCATGTAGTTGAAACTTCAACCTTATCACCTAATCCTTCCCCTAATCCCTGAGTCCCTGTTTCAGTTGTGCAGAACTTCCTATGTAATATACTAAAAGCAAGACTGGGTCTTTAACCGATCTATGATACATATACCCTGCATATTATTTATTGCTAGCTGGGGCTTAAATCTATTTATAATGTTTAATTTTTCAGAATAGGTTGAATATAACAAAAACAATTCGCAAGTTTCCAATTGACCCGCATTTAAGGTCTACCGGCGCAGAATTCCACTCTGGCCTTGCATTACATAACATTAACCATGGAGAAGAAACTAAGGAAGAGTTTCCTGATGGTGCTATACCATTAACCAGTGCTAGTTTTGAAGCATTATCACATCAGTGAGTAGGCAGCTTCTCTTTTTATTGTGCATGCATAAGAGTCCTGTCTGAGGATTTAAATATCGATTAACATAAATTGAACTCTTTTTATGCAGCTTTCCAATATTGGTTGTCAACTTCAATGCACCATGGTGCTACTGGAGTAATCGTCTGGTAATTCTCTTAGTAATTAGTAATTACTAATGCTTATAAACTTTCCAATTTTCTGAAATTTTCATTTTCTTCTGGTATGCAAGCACTAATGATCCAGATGTGAATGTACTCATCATAACTTTTTTTTTCCTGCTTGACCGAGTGAGAAAGAATCTTCCTCAATTCGTTATTGACTGTTATTTGGGAATACATTCAATCACGATATGTGGAATCCTAGACATTTTTTGTTCTAAAGGGGTATGGGGTTTGCTATTTTGTGTTACGAAATCTAGATGACAATAAACTTTTTACTGAATAATACGTTGATCAAAATATTTTGTAGCTTTATGGGTAGTATGTACCTCAGTTCTTGTCTGACATTGAAAAAGTTGTTCATGTTTGGTTATGATGAGTTTCTTTTGTATTTTCTACTATTTGCTTCAGAAACCTGCATGGGAAAAAGCAGCAAATATAATAAAACAAAGGTTTGTGTTAGACTCTTCGGCATTTTTATCAAGCTATGAAATTCTTAAGACGCTGGCTGACAATGTTCTTTCTGAAACATCTTCATGTTAATATTCTGCTGCAGATATGATCCTGAAGCTGATGGTCGTGTTCTTCTAGGAAACGTTGATTGCACGGAAGAACCTGCGCTATGTAAGAGGTACTACGAAGTTGATGTTTTTCCTCCATTTTCTTGTTATTCTTTCTTGATTTATGAGTCGTTTCCAAGAAGAGCAGAATTTGTGTTACACCTTTTTAATGCCTGATGTTTAAGGTTGCAATTGCACGGTGAGCAGTGACTGTCATTCTATTTGATTTCTCGCTTGACTTAACATAAATTGTGGAATGTATTTTCAGGAATCACATACAAGGTTATCCATCTATTCGTATTTTCCGCAAAGGCAGTGACCTTAGGTGAGAAAGCATCTGATATGATGTAGCTTAGTTAGGATTCGTCATGTCTTCTGCTTTACCTTATGTATCCATGCCGTGAAAAAATCGAGTTTTATGTCTCCTAATTGTGTTCTCAGTACAGTCAAATGTTGATACATGTGAAATCATCACCGTTAAATTCTTTTCTTTTCGTCTTTTCCTCTTTAACTTCCTTTAGGTTAATATACCAGATATCTGTTGGTGTAAATATTTTTATGAAAGTTTTCCTGTTTATTGTTTCCAGAGAGGACCATGGACACCACGAACATGAATCTTACTATGGAGATCGGGACACAGATAGTATAGTTAAGGTAGACAAAACTTTTTTTCGTTCCAGTATCAGTAATAAATGAGCCAACATTCACATCTATATGTATGCGTGTATTAGTCACTTAGTTATAGAAAAACGTCTAGTTGTCTGTGGATTAAATATTATATACATCCACAGCATATCTTTGTGCTACGTTTTGAGTCAACAGCAAGCATGTTCTTCTAAAAGTTCATATAAGATTTTCTTTCTTCCAGATGGTGGAGGGACTGGTCGCACCTATCCACCCGGAGACTCACAAGGTAGCTTCGGATGGTAAATCCAATGATACCGTAAAAAATCTTAAAAAGGCACCGGTTACAGGAGGTTGTAGAGTTGAAGGTTATGTACGTGTAAAGAAGGTAAACCTTGGACTGGAAAAGTGAAGATTGAATGAATGTCCTGTAACTGATTTGTGGCATGTTTGATATTTTCCCAGCTTTTCTGTACTGGAAGTTTGTCTTTTGTATATTTCAGGTTCCAGGAAACCTCGTTATCTCAGCTCATTCAGGAGCTCATTCATTCGATTCTTCTCAAATGAACATGTCGCATGTTGTGTCCCATCTTTCGTTTGGGAGGATGATTTCTCCTAGGTTGCTGACCGATATGAAACGGTTGTTGCCATATCTTGGCCTAAGCCATGACAGGCTGGATGGAAAGGCATTCATAAATCAACATGAGTTTGGTGCCAATGTCACTGTAAGTCCCAGAAACCTTCATAGGAATTTAGAGTCTTGAACCTTCGTCAAATTTTCTTTTACTTGCTCTTATCCTTTTACTTGCTCTTATCTAACTGTTTTCTACACGCTTTCTACAGATCGAACACTACCTTCAAATAGTCAAAACAGAGGTCATTACAAGAAGATCCGGTCAAGAACATTCACTGATAGAGGAATATGAATACACTGCTCACAGCAGCGTGGCTCAGACTTACTACTTACCTGTTGCGAAGTTTCATTTTGAGCTCTCTCCCATGCAGGTTCAGTCCTCATTTACACAAACAAGAGATTATCTCTCGCTAATATCGCAATATACTTCACTCTTTATAATTTCTCCTTGGTTACTCTGTTTTTGCAGATCTTAATAACTGAAAACCCAAAGTCCTTCTCACACTTCATCACAAATCTGTGTGCCATTATTGGTGGTGTTTTCACGGTTAGCAATTTCTCAGTTACCTTGCGTCTTCATACTCGCATGGATTCCATGGTCATTTCTGATTTCGCCTGTGGATTTTGTCAGGTTGCCGGAATACTAGATTCGATTTTCCACAATACAGTAAGACTGATAAAAAAGGTCGAACTTGGGAAAAACATTTGATCGTCCACCGGAGGTTAGAATTTTCCATTAATCTATAAAACCATAGAAGAAACTCAGACTGTTTACTTCGAATAGCTGATCTACATAGAAAACCTCAAAAAAGAGAGAAT